TATAAAAAAATTCACCCCCCTCACAGTTGTCATGAAGGGCAAAATTAGCTATGTAGACCAAAAAACACTTTTTGTACCAGGCTGTAAACATGTTTTATTCTGCTGTAAAGTTGGGCGTTTTAACATGGGGAGTCTATGGGACTGACTCCCTTTTGGAGCCCGCCTCTAGCGGCCAGTCGATGAATTGCAGTTTTAGTCACTTCCGTGTTGGTTTCACGAGAGAGAGCGGGAGGTTGGTGCTTGGCACTCACACGCACTCAGTGGCGAGTTCTCTTTTAGGTTCATGTGACAACAGCAATGCAGCACAGGTAACGCTTCAGGTCAGGCCGAAGGGGGGCAGCGCAGCAGGCAGGACAAGAGAATGATGCCGTTCTTTCCCCTGTGCTTGCATGAGAAAAACTCAGTTTGCATTTCCTGAAGGAAACACCAGTTCTGGCCAGGTAGCAAATTGATAGTGTTAAAGTTAAGTTTGAACTTCGGCTCTGATTTAAAAAACGCAGCTTCCACAGTAACGGACTAGGTGACCAAAAAAAAAAGAAGGAAAGACCAATAATATCAGTAAGCAAATAGATGGAAGAAAAAGGACACAAATGCAAATGTTGCAATGAAGCCTTTGCAGTCAACAAGAGATTCTCTTGAATTAAAAACAAAAATTTGACATTTTAAATCTGGAAAAAGCCGCCTGTATGTGTAACATCAAAGCATGACGCAGATCATGGAAGCACATCCAAAGTTCAGTTATTACAGCTGTGATCGGATCACCCGAGATGGGTGATATTACCAGATGTAAACACATCCTGAGTTAAGCAGCTCGGGCTGAACTACTGCAGATGTTTGTTTGGAACACCAGAACGTTTGATGAATATCAATACAGTCCTTCCTCGCAAACACTGCAACAAGGGCCGCGGTTGCATCCAGATACTGATTACCAGCGATGAAGAGCAGGAGGATTAGTTCAGAGATCAGAGAGAAAGCGAGAGATCGGACCCAGAGAAGAGGAGGAGGGAGAGAGAACGAGCGCAACAGCAAGAAAAGCTGCGGAGGAGGAGAGACACATAAAACAAGAATGGCATCCGTGCCAGCGCAATTAGGAAACGGTCCTGCGGTGTTTCAGAGAATGAAAGCTCATGCAATGCGTGATGCACAAGCGCCCCAACATAAACACGTGCATAGTGCACCTCTGCTGCCGCATACATAACACACGTGTCATGCACAGATATGTAGAAGTAGCAGAAGTAATAATATTACTATTCTATTTATAGTAGATATCTGTCAATAGTAATAAAAATAATATTAACTCAATAATAATTGCAGAGATGTTTTGATAATTATAATTGTTATTATTGGTATAATATTAAAATATTTTTGTAATTATTATTATATGTTAACTATTGTGTAAATCGAGATTTCAGCTAATTTCTGTACATCACATTTTTGTCTTTGTCATACTGATTATCTGCAATTTTTTTTGGTTAATATCTTGTTTAAAATAACATGTAATTTAATGTATAAGCAAGTAAATAAATCAGCACTTTATTTTTATGGCAAGAAAATGAACAGGGTAGAAATAATTAGCCATGGTAGCTTACCTGAGTAATGAACTTTTCACGAAGAATTATGACATTTTAAATCTAATGTTGAGGATGTTTCTTAAATTTTGTATTTTTTTAAAAGTGAGACAAATCAGCTAATACCACAAATCTTCAAATAATTCATTAATCCATTGCTTACTTGTGATGTTGTTTCCCCTCCCTCCAAAATGTCCTGGAGGATAATGTCAAATGGGAACTGGCTTTTGTTAGTTAAAGAAATATTACAAAAGATTAACCGGATGGATAAGTTTACAATGCTTTAAAAAGATAAAATAATACAACAATATTTCCAAAGGGAAAAGATGCATTGTTTGCAACATTTACATTTGAGTCTGGAAATATGAACACCTTGTAACCTAAATAATTTAAAGTTCACGTCAATGAATTGTGATAGATGTAATGCTAAGTCTAATATGGCTTCCCTCTTTAAAAACTGTGAATTCTATATATTAAAGGGATAGTTCACCCAAAAATGAAAATGTGATGTTTATCTGCTTACCCCCAGAGCATCCAAGATGTAGGTGACTTTGTTTCTTCAGTAGAACACAAACGAAGATGTTTAACTCAAACCGTTGCAGTCTGTCAGTCTTATAATGGAAGTGACTGGGAATCACGGCAAAAACACGGCAAAAACATACACAGACTAAACCAAATGAAACCCTGCGGCTCGTGACGATACACTGAGGTCTTAAGACACGAAACGATCGGTCTGTGCAAGAAACTGAACAGTATTTATATAATTTTTTACCTCTGATCCACCGCGATGTCCAACTGTCCTGAGCGCGCTCACAGCATCCGGCGCGTGACGCGTGTACGTGCTCTGGCACATAGATATATATAAGTAGACGCCTCATTAGTGACTGTTTCTATGGGCTGCGATACGTTCCAAAATGGCGGACGCGTCATGTATCTGGAGCGGTCGAATAGGGCCTCTATACATATCTATGATAGTAGACGCATGTGCGGAAGCGATCTGTTGCGCGTATACGTCACTCGTTATTTACACAGTGCAGAGAGATTGCGAACGTGTTCACTGGCACTGCGAAGATTTACAGAGATTTAGAAGTACAGGTCATCACAATGAAAGATATTCTGATATATCATCAGACAACGTGGCATTTTTTGCCCGAACGTTTTTATTTGACGTCACGCGCCGGATGTTGTGAGCGCGCTCAGGACAGTTGAACATCGCGGTGGATCAGAGGTAAAAAAGCGTTTTGTGTGTTAAGACCTCAATGTATCGTCACGAGCCGCAGGGCTTAATTTGGTTTTGTCTGTGTATGTTTTTTTTACTCTCAAAGCCGTGGAGCCCATTCACTTCCATTATAAGACTGACAGACTGCAACGGTTTGAGTTAAAAATCTTCATTTGTGTTCTACAAAGTCGCCTACATCTTGGATGCCCTGGGGGTAAGCAGATAAACATCACATTTTCATTTTTGGGTGAACTGTCCCTTCAAGACATATGAGGGGGTTTGGCTTGAAGATTATGTATCGTCACGAGCCGCAGGGCTTAATTTGGTTTTGTCTGTGTATGTTTTTTTTACTCTCAAAGCCGTGGAGCCCATTCACTTCCATTATATGACTGACAGACTGCAACGGTTTGAGTTAAAAATCTTCATTTGTGTTCTACAAAGTCGCCTACATCTTGGATGCCCTGGGGGTAAGCAGATAAACATCACATTTTCATTTTTGGGTGAACTATCCCTTTAAGACATATGAGGGGGTTTGGCTTGAAGATGTATATGACCCAGCAATATTTCAGAAAGCTCCAGAATATTTCTCTACTCTTACACATTTCAAATGGCTCTGTTTTTCAGGCAATGTAATATCTCAACGCATGAGGGCTGGTGAATGTCACCTATGCAGTAGAACAAGGACATGCGACACGAGTCGCTGAGGACACCCGAAACACCGAGAAAACCTGGGGCTTCAGTCGAAGCACAAAGATACTGTAGCAATACCGACCCAAGACCAGATCCTCTCTGAATCCATCCCAAACTCAAGAACCTTCATGACCAAACGCTGAAAAAGGGAAAGACACTTTTGTTATGAATCCGAATGTGCCATTCTTCCGTGTTCTGGAGCGGATGTTATCAGTCGAGGACACCTGGTGGCTGCCCCGAGCACTGGCTGGCACAGACGCATTTGCAATTTAATTGAAATTTGAAGATGTCATGCAACATGCACTCACTGGATGTATTTCAATGGACACTTACATGTTACAAAGAAGAAAAAAATGAAATTGTACATGGTGTGCTTTACAGGTCTAAATATTCTGCTATCATGAAAAAGAACATATAAATGCATTATTTTAATACATTGCTGCTCCAAGATGTAGGCTTATTTTCATGTGCATTTGAAGGGATGTCCAACTGTGCATCTGGATGACTAAAATATCCTGCGCTCATATTGTGTGTATCAGCCGCTCAGCATTTAGGGATAGTTCACTTAAAAAAACGGAAAATTCGGTCGTCATTTACTCACCCTCGTGTCGTTCCAAACCTGCATGAGTTTCGTTCTTCTGCGAGACAAACAAAAAGGTCCAATTTCAGCCCGTTATTTCAATTTCAAGTCTGTATATCGCATGATTTTTAAGTATTTCTGATGCATTCTTGTCATTTTGGCGCTTGACCGCTCCATTGACGTTCAATGCATGGAAAAGGGCAGCTTGGACATTCTTCTAAATAACTCAAACGCACAAAGTCAGTCGCATAGGTTTGAAACAACATCAGAACGAGTAAATAATGTCAGAATGGTATTTTTTAGTTGAACTTTGAGCTTACGGAAGCCTCAGCAAAGTGAAACGATCTATCGGATCCACAAACCGATTTTACATTTCATCTTATTTGTGAAACGATGCAGAAGACGACGTGAAATGTCATTTAATCAGATGTATATGTGACTAACATAATATAGCCTTCACTGCAGTATAACAGGTAAGAGATGAGAGAACCATCACGTGATTATTTGATTCCCGATTCGAAATAATTGTGTATATAAGTATTTGATGCGGTTTAAATGTAAGATGTGATGTACTATTATAATTGTGTATAGTATTTCTTAGAGATGTTTATTTTCTATAAAACAAATATGTTATTGCTTACAAAAGTTATTAAAACAATGAATCAAAAGGACTTTTTTTTTTTTTTGGGAACTGTATTCGTTTACAGCTCATCCTGCGATGTTTCTGGGTGTTTTTTTTATTATTTATTTTTATGTAACACTGCCATGAAATATAATAGATGTGTGAACATGAACAGCTGTCTTTGGAATTGAGATCAAAATCACGTTTTGTTTTCTTTCTGTGCATCTTTGTCGGCGTCGTGTTGTTCTAATGGCCCTTCTGTCCTGGAAAAGCACACAAGTTGGGGAAAAAAAAAAAATCGAGATTACAAACGCAGACCAATTTCATTACAAAAGACTTTTATTTACATTCTTAAGAATAAATCAAACAGAAGATATGCTAAGTGTGCGCCTGCGAGTTTAAACACATTCCGTCTTTGAGACTCGATCGCAAGCACTACAGAGAAGTTAGCGTACAAGTAATGAATGTCATTTGCAAATCTCTGTTACCGCGAACAGAAAACATGTCTAGTAATCAGAGTTCGTGCATAACGGTGACAAGAGATGAAATATAAATATGCAAGAGCTGCAGGCAGATCCTCACATCGCTCTCAAATCTGATCTTTGGATAAAGATGTCCGAGATGATAAAGACTCGATGCAGATGAAATTATTTGGATTCGCTGACTCCAATGGAAGACTGGTTTGGAAACACAAAAGAAACGGTGGATTCAGTGGTATCCACTCACTAAATAGCGCAAATGGACACAAATCCAGTTTTTTTTGTTCTGCTGACTTCAAATGGTTCAATTGCAGCAGCGTGACAAAATGTGCCATCAGACAAATCATAAATACACTTATTTAAAACATACATACAAAGAAAAAGAAGTTTTATAAAGCCTTAAATTTCTCAAATCGATATGCAGAATTCATACCGGATGATAACGTGCTGTAAGCAGGAACTACTTCATTCAGCTGGAGGTCGACATCTCTCAAAGGTGCTAATAAGTAAAGCAAAGCTCTACAATACGTTTCCAACTCAACCACGGAGCAGCGTCCAGTTCACCAAATCACCATCTACTGGCCCGAGTCAGCACTGACAGTGCATCGCTTCACAAAGCCATTCCACGCAATCTCTTCGATTTCTTTTAGGGCAGATAAATAAGTTAAATATTCAATTTCATATCAAAAAGGTCGAGAAAACTCTGCGTTTGGAGGAGGGTCCCGTCACTGCCTCTGCATCTCGTCGCTGGTTTTGAATATGCAGTTATGAATTGTTGGGGAGAGTCTTGGCGTTCTTGGATGACACCGAGGCCTGAAATGAAGAGCGTGTTGATTCTGAGAGATCTTGGGGTGTGTTTGTAAAAGTGCTCTTAAGTGTGTGTGTGTAGGTGGCTAGGTGGAGGTGACGGTCGTTCCGCTGCCTAGTTTGATGATCATCTGCTGGCAGTCGTGGAGGGTGCGTTTGTCTCCTAGCTTCTCCAGCGTCCGGGCGGCGTCCACCAGCATGCCCACCCTCTGGCCCGGAGCTGACAGGAAGGAAGGAGGCAGATAGCGGCACGCCAGCATCACGGCCTCCGCCTGCTCCCGCTGGCCTGGATGCACCTCACACTCCTCTGCGGAAACACACGCACACTGAACGTAAGTAGGCTGCAAAACTAACCGTCGATGGAGGAGCTCGTCTATTGGCTGATAACTTTTAGGAACTGCAGCACAATACATGATTTACATTGATTTGGAATGATGATGTGATTTAGATCAAGCTGGCAGCCTGTGACCGGAAACTTTTTTTTTTTTTTTACACTTACAATAATCATGTTATATGTATTCTATATGTTATATAACATGTTATAAATTAAATATATATTTATATATATACACACACACACATATATACACGCACATATATATATATTTATTTATTTTATTTTTTTGGTTAAATTTAATGGTAGCATTAGAATGGTAGAATTAATATAATATAATTTGTTTTTAAAAGAAGTCTTATCAAGACTGTATTTAATTTATTTATTTATTTAAACAAATGCAAAAAAAACAGCATCATGAAATTTAAATGAAAAATAACTGTTTTGAATATATTTTAAAATGTAATTTCTGTGATGCACGACTGTATTTTCAGCATCATAACTCCAGTCTTCAGCGTCACATGATCTTCAGAAATCAGTATAATATGCTGATCTGCTGCTCGAGAAACATTTCTGATTATTATCAATGTAGAAATGTGATGCATTTCTTTCAGGATTCTTTGATGAATAGAAAGATCAAAAGAACAGCATTTATTTGAAATAGAAGTGTTTTGTAGCATTATAAATGTCTTTACTGTCCCTTTTGATCGATTTAAAGCATCCTTGCTAAATAAAAGTATTCATTTCTAAAAAAAAAAAAAAAATACTGAGCCTAAACTTTTTAACTACAGTGACGATAAAAATAACTAATTGCATATTGAACCTAAACATTTAAAAACTGTTGTTCAAACAAATAATTATTATATGTGACCCTGGAGCACAAAACCAGTCATAAGGGTCAATTTTTCGAAATTGAGAGTTATACATCATCTGAAAGCTGAATAAATAAGCTTTCCATTGATGTATGGTTTGTTAGGATCGGACAATATTTGGCCGAGATACAACTATTTGAAAATCTGGAATCTGAGGGTGCAAAAAAATCTAAATATTGAGAAAATCGTCTTTAAAGTTGTTCAAATGAAGTTCTTAGCAATGCATATTACTAATCAAACATTAAGTTTTGATATATTTATAGTAGGACATTTACAAAATATCTTCATGGAACATGATCTTTACTTAATATCCTAATGGTTTTTGGCATAAAAGAGAAATGTATAATTGTGACCCATACAATGTATTGTTGGCTATTGCTACAAATATCCCCCAGCGACTCAACACTGCTTCTGTGCTGCAGGGACACATATGATGTAATGAATTCTATTCAAATAAAGACATTTAAAACAAATGCTTTCAAAGTGAGACTTGGCAATGCTCTGCGCACACACTGCATGTTCACCTGTTCTGCTTCCAGGCGTGGCGCGGCGGCGCAGACTGCGGTCCAAGAGCTGGTGTGTGCGTGTGGGACTGGCTCCCGCCATCAGCCGAGCTGTGGCTTCATGCAGGAACAACTGCAGAGAGAGAGAAACAGAGCGACTGAGTTATACATGCAAACACATGAACCCACGCTAAATAACCAGCCTGCAGAACAGCAGTTCAACCAAGAAAACAACAGATTCATTCTTCCTTATACAACAAGATTAGTGTGCAAACTGTTTCTGTAATCCGCTTTAAACAGGAACATCTGCCAAAAAAATTCAACCTTTGCAGAATTTGTATGAAGTGTTATTTACAAATGCAAATCAAAAAGATAAACCACTAACAATGGACAATAAATATAATGTAAAAAAAATAAAATAATAATAATACATTACAAAAAGTCTGCATGCAGACTGGGTGGCATTATGGTATATACCACTTGATGGTTATATAAGATTTTGATCACACTGCCTGACCCAGGACAAGTTGAATGCAATAGTTTGCTTAAATAGACAATTTCTTAATTGAATGAACTAGAGACATAAATATGAGCACGTCATGTCTTTAGTGTGGCCTCTGGCCTCTCACCCTGCGCATGGCCGGTCTGAAGCTCTGGGCGAGCTTGCGGAGCGAGCTGAGGTCCTGCTGGAAGCCCTGCAGCTCTGCAGGAGAGGCGGCCGTCGAGGAGCTCTGCTGAGACGCCACCTGCTGCTCCCGCCACACATTAGTACGCGTCACCAACAACAGATCACACAGCAGCAACTGCACCAGCTACAGCACAGACAGAGACACACATCCAATCAGACCGTTTCTTTCATTCCAGAAGGACAGCCTAGAGATGGTTTTCTTTGAGAGCACAAATACCATCCGTGTGCATGTGTCTGTACATGCGTGTGTCCGCGCATGCGTGTCTGCGTGCGTGTGTGTGCGCACGTGCATGCATGTGCATGTGCGTGTGTATGCATGTGTGCGCATGTGCGTTTGTGCATGCATGTGTGCGCATGTGCATGCATGTGTGCGCGTGCATGCATGTGCGTGCGTGTGTATGCATGTGCGTGTGTGTGCGCGTGTATGCATGTGCGTGTATGCATGTGCATGTATGCATGTGTATGTGTGTGTGCGCGTGTATGCATGTGCGTGTGTATGCATGTGCGTGTATGCATGTGCATGTGCGTGTATGCATGTGTGTGTGTGTGTGTGCGCGCGTGTATGCGCATGTGCATGTGTGTGTGCGCGTGTGTATGCATGTGCATGCGTGTGTGTGTATGCATGTATGTGCGTGCGTAACACACAGCAAAAAACAACATGCTCAAATAAAGAACAGTTTGTGTTGTTATACAAATGATGTCTCGACATCTGTTTAATATCATTAAAATTAGGTGCTGCCAAACATTTTTTCCCTCCAAATGTTTAATACTCCGTTCACATATTTTTACATAAATTGACAGTCTAATTAATTGATTAATTAATAAATTAATTAAAATGTAGTTTTCTTTTCTTAAAATGGAACTAAATGCCTCTTGAACAACATTTAATTACTACAATTATACTGAAAGGGAAGAATATACAAACATATTTAGACATAAAAATGTATAAATGTTTTTGGACAGTTTACATTAAATATATTTAATGATAATAATAATAAAACAAATATATAAATAAAACAATAAAATATATTTTATACATGTATAGTTTAATTATCATATAATTGTATTAATATTATTATTAAAATATTACAAATATGAAAACATAATCTGTGTTTTAAAGAAAGACAGCACAAACACACTTGTTTTTTTAACCAAAATACTTGATAAAACAATGATAAAACAACAGATACTAAAATAAAGTATTGTGACACTTTGTGTCAGTGTTGTTATTGTTAACTAAAACTATTAAAAATCACTTTTGTTAATTGAATTAAAGCTAAAACAAAATAAAACAAAAAACTTAAATATGAATAAACAAGAACAATAAATAAGAAAATGGCAGACCAACTGAAATAAGTTTAAATACGAAATTATTGAAAATAAAGCTCAATAGAAATATTAAAAATCTTAAAAAGCACATAAAATTCCTTAAAGCTAAAATTGAAATTGTAAATAGTCCAGAATGTCCAGAAACAACATGATGAACTACTAGCATGACATCTGTGTTAACTCGAGGAGAGCTGACTTCATTCATCAGCCTGGGACCAGTTAGTTAAAAGTAACTAAAAATGTGTGTGTGGTCCAGCTCTGTGTTGCACTGCAGGAACATTGCACAGTTGAGGCACATGCAATGCAACTACAATGCACTACAGCCCTGTCCAAGACAAAACCCACGCGGCGCACTAACCACTCCACATAATAAAGTGAAATGTGTGTATCTACCTTGTCTAATGTGTTGGTGCTGCAGTGTGGGCCGAGATTGAGGCTGTCTCTGAACAGGCCGCTGGCTCTCTCACAGTAGCTGAGGCTGAGCTGGTAGTTCTCTGGTTTGGCCAGCAGAGCACGCACCGCTTTAAAAGTGTTAAGACAGGCTTTGGGCAGTGGACTCCTGCAACACAGACGGGATGCGCTTAGCACAGACTGAGCTGAAAGCAATAACCCCACACTAAACGCACATCACACGCGTGTTATTCCCGGACGTCCAGTGGAAAGATAAATGCGGCTGTGTCACCAAAGAGGAAAAGCCACTCTGATGAGAGCAACTGATAACTGCAGCCGCTTTACAACCAATTTGATCTTTATTTGCTTGTGGTATTACTATTTTTGAAAGTAAATATATCTTGAGAGTGGCATTAGGGGGTGAATTTAACCGCTTTTCCAGGAGAAACCACAATAATAATAATAATAATAATAATGATGATAGTTTTGATATGTATATATAGTTTTAGAGAAAAAAAATCTCTCTCTCTCTATATATACAGTATATATATATATATATATACATACATACATAAATACATACGTATATATATGTATGTATGTATGTCTATATCAATACTGCTTATGTTTGCAAATATATAAATAAAACAATAAAATATATTTTATACATGTATAGTTTAATTATCATATAATTGTATTAATATTATTATTAAAATATTACAAATATGAAAACATAATCTGTGTTTTAAAGAAAGACAGCACAAACACACTTGTTTTTTTAACCAAAATACTTGATAAAACAATGATAAAACAACAGATACTAAAATAAAGTATTGTGACACTTTGTGTCAGTGTTGTTATTGTTAACTAAAACTATTAAAAATCACTTTTGTTAATTGAATTAAAGCTAAAACAAAATAAAACAAAAAACTTAAATATGAATAAACAAGAACAATAAATAAGAAAATGGCAGACCAACTGAAATAAGTTTAAATACGAAATTATTGAAAATAAAGCTCAATAGAAATATTAAAAATCTTAAAAAGCACATAAAATTCCTTAAAGCTAAAATTGAAATTGTAAATAGTCCAGAATGTCCAGAAACAACATGATGAACTACTAGCATGACATCTGTGTTAACTCGAGGAGAGCTGACTTCATTCATCAGCCTGGGACCAGTTAGTTAAAAGTAACTAAAAATGTGTGTGTGGTCCAGCTCTGTGTTGCACTGCAGGAACATTGCACAGTTGAGGCACATGCAATGCAACTACAATGCACTACAGCCCTGTCCAAGACAAAACCCACGCGGCGCACTAACCACTCCACATAATAAAGTGAAATGTGTGTATCTACCTTGTCTAATGTGTTGGTGCTGCAGTGTGGGCCGAGATTGAGGCTGTCTCTGAACAGGCCGCTGGCTCTCTCACAGTAGCTGAGGCTGAGCTGGTAGTTCTCTGGTTTGGCCAGCAGAGCACGCACCGCTTTAAAAGTGTTAAGACAGGCTTTGGGCAGTGGACTCCTGCAACACAGACGGGATGCGCTTAGCACAGACTGAGCTGAAAGCAATAACCCCACACTAAACGCACATCACACGCGTGTTATTCCCGGACGTCCAGTGGAAAGATAAATGCGGCTGTGTCACCAAAGAGGAAAAGCCACTCTGATGAGAGCAACTGATAACTGCAGCCGCTTTACAACCAATTTGATCTTTATTTGCTTGTGGTATTACTATTTTTGAAAGTAAATATATCTTGAGAGTGGCATTAGGGGGTGAATTTAACCGCTTTTCCAGGAGAAACCACAATAATAATAATAATAATAATAATGATGATAGTTTTGATATGTATATATAGTTTTAGAGAAAAAAAATCTCTCTCTCTCTATATATACAGTATATATATATATATATATACATACATACATAAATACATACGTATATATATGTATGTATGTATGTCTATATCAATACTGCTTATGTTTGAATGTAAAATATATATATATATATATATATATATATATATATATATATGTATTTATGTAAAACATTTAAACATTAGCAGTATTGTTTTTAAAGACATTATTATTAAAGAAATTATTAATGGCAGAATAACTGAAATAATAATTTTAGTACTTAAACTTATTTAAAACTAAAACTGAAATTAAAATGAATTAAAGATAAATATTGAAAAATAAATAAATATTTTTTTAAAACCTAACAAATAAAAAAGCGCATAAAATTACAAAAAAAATTAAACATAAAATATAAAGAAATAAAAGCTCATTTAAAACAGAAAAAAATATTTTTTTAATTATACTAAAACAACATTTCTTATCAATGTTGAACAGTTGTGCTGATGAATAGAAAGCTCAAAAGAGCAGCATTTATTTGAAATAGAGATGATTTTAACATTATAAATGTCTTTACATTTTGATCATTTGAAGCATTTAATGCATGCAATTTCTTAAAAAACACACACACACAAAAACTACTTACCGTAAATGTTTGAAAGTTTTTTTTTTGTGTAAATTTTAAATGTGTAGGATTTATAATGTTTTTTATTTTATTTTGTAAATCTAAATATTAAACCATAATTGTGTCCCTGGAGCACAAAAGCAGTGATAAGTCGCTGGGGGATATTTGTAGCAATAGCCAACAATACATTGTATGGGTCACAATTATACATTTCTCTTTTATGCCAAAAATCATTAGGATATTAAGTAAAGATCATGTTCCACGAAGATATTTTGTAAATGTCCTACTGTAAATATATCAAAACTTAATGTTTGATTAGTAATATGCATTGCTAAGAACTTCATTTGGACAACTTTAAAGATGATTTTCTCAATATTTAGATTTTTTTGCACCCTCAGATTCCAGATTTTCAAATAGTTGTATCTCAGCCAAATATTGTTCGATTCTAACAAACCACACGCCAATGGAAAGCTTATTTATTCAGCTTTCAGATGATGTATACATCTCAATTTCAAGAAATTTGACCCTTGTTTTGTGGTCCAGGGTCACATTTTTGAAAGTAAAAATGGCGTGTGTTTCCTGTAGACTGTCACGTGTTACTCACTCAGCGGTCTGAAGGCTGTGTGGCAAGTGCTCCACTGCTGGGTACAACCTCTCTGCCGCCACATCATCTCCCTGGAGCCAATTAATGATCACCACGGCAACCGACGACCACCATTTCGAGTGAGGGTCACATCCTGGAGGTCAAGGACACAGTGGTGATCACACACACACACACACACACACACTCATGAAGTGTCTGTCCTTCATTCTCCCCGCCTAACATCTGCTTGAATGAAAACATGCCGAGATGAACGCAGCGTGATGTGAAAAGTGCTGACCGGAACAGAAAAACTTATTTGAGCTGTACATACACAGCCCAGCAGTGGCCACCCTCTCTGCGGTGACTCGCCTGAAATGCTATTCTCTGAAATCCATCATATGACCCAGGAGTCCCCAAAACAACACTCGGGGTCAAAACAGAAGTGGATTGAGGGCTGACCTGTAACGGTGGCCATGTTTGATCCGATGGCGAAGGACTGTGTTGTGGCTCCTGCTGCGTCTGAGGCGCTGGTGAGTAACTGCAGGTATTCCAGAGAGTCTGCGTATTCACTGTCAAAACACACACACAACTCAGATTAGCACCCCAATCACTATAAAAACTAAGTGATTCAAAAGCAAAGCGTATGTAAAATAAAGTGTCATAAAAGCTTGGCAGCAAAAATCTGTCCAATTAGGCCAGATTTCAGCAGAACACTCTGCTATCTGTAGCACTGATGGACCCACACTACTGACACCAGTAGAGGAACCACTCATTTATATATTAAGTGTGCATTTTCAGTTAACATTTAGATATATATATAGAAGATTTAGCTTTTGTTTAAAAATTATATTATTGTTAAAAATACAGTACTGTTCAAAAGTTTGGGGCCAGTTTGATTTTATTTATTTATTTAAGTTTTTTTCAAAGAAGTCTATTATGTTCACTAAAACTGAATTTATGCAATTAAATCAGACAGACAGACAGACAGACAGACAGATACAGACAGACACAGACAGACAGATAGACACAGACAGACAGAGACAGACACAGACAGACACAGACAGACAGACAGACAGACAGACAGACAGAGACAGATACAGACAGACAGAAACAGATACAGACAGACACAGATCAAAACAGAAGTGGATTGAGGGCTGACCTGTAACGGTGGCCATGTTTGATCCGATGGCGAAGGACTGTGTTGTGGCTCCTGCTGCGTCTGAGGCGCTGGTGAGTAACTGCAGGTATTCCAGAGAGTCTGCGTATTCACTGTCAAAACACACACACAACTCAGATTAGCACCCCAATCACTATAAAAACTAAGTGATTAAAAGCAAAGCGTATGTAAAATAAAGTGTCATAAAAGCTTGGCAGCAAAAATCTGTCCAATTAGGCCAGATTTCAGCAGAACACTCTGCTATCTGTAGCACTGATGGACCCACACTACTGACACCAGTAGAGGAAACACTCATTTACATATTAAGTGTGCATTTTCAGTTAACATTTAGATATATATATAGAAGATTTAGCTTTTGTTTAAAAATTATATTATTGTTAAAAATACAGTACTGTTCAAAAGTTTGGGGCCAGTTTGATTTTATTTATTTATTTAAGTTTTTTTCAAAGAAGTCTATTATGTTCACTAAAACTGAATTTATGCAATTAAATCAGACAGACAGACAGACAGACAGACAGATACAGACAGACACAGACAGATACAGACAGACAGATACAGACAGACACAGACAGACAGACAGACAGACAGACAGAGATACAGACAGACAGACGGAGAGATACAGACAGACAGATACAGACAGACAGATACAGACAGACAGAGAGATACAGAGACAGACAGACAGACAGACACAGACAGACAGATACAGACAGATACAGACAGACACAGACAGAGAGATACAGACAGACGGAGAGATACAGACAGACAGAGAGATACAGACAGACAGAGAGATACAGACAGACACAGAGATACAGACAGACAGACGGAGAGATACAGACAGACAGAGACAGACAGACAGACACAGACAGACAGACAGAGACAGACAGACAGAGACAGACAGACAGAGACAGACAGACAGAGACAGACAGACAGAGACAGACAGACAGAGACAGACAGACAGAGACAGACAGACAGAGACAGACAGACAGAGACAGACAGACAGAGACAGACAGACAGAGACAGACAGACAGAGACAGACAGACAGAGACAGACAGACAGAGACAGACAGACAGACAGATACAGACAGACAGACACAGACAGACAGAGAGATACACAGACACAGACAGACAGACACAGACAGAGACAGACAGACAGACAGACACAGACAGACAGACAGACAGACACAGACAGACAGACAGACAGACACAGACAGACAGACAGAGACAGACAGACAGAAACAGATACAGACAGACAGAAACAGACAGACAGAAACAGATACAGACAGACACAGACAGACAGACAGAGACAGACAGACAGAGACAGATACAGACAGACAGAAACAGATACAGACAGACAGAAACAGACAGACAGAAACAGATACAGACAGACACAGACAGACAGACAGAGACAGACAGACAGAGACAGATACAGACAGACAGAAACAGATACAGACAGACAGAAACGTAGTAAAGTGAAGCAGGCGGGGCAGGCTGGTTTTAACCCGGAGGGCTGCAGACACACAGATTTCAGCCAGCGTGGCAATGGGGAGACAGTCTCCTGCACACTCGGCCAGGTTGAGAGCGCTCAGCACCATGTGGATCGCAGAGAGGTGACTTCCTCCGAGCTTGCCTGCACACCGATCAACATCATGAGCAAATACGACGAATGGCTAGAAGACTTATCATGTGTTGCTAAATGAATATTTACATTTATTAGCCCTAGAAAACCACACTTTTTTTCAAATATATGTGACCCTGCAGCACAAAAGCAGTGTTAAGTCGCTGGGGGATATTTGTAGCAATAGCCAACAATACATTGTATGGGTCAACATTATAGAATTTTCTTTTATGCCAAAAATCATTAGGATATTAAGTAAAGATCATGTTCCATGAAGATATTTAGTAAATTTCCTACTGTAAATATATCAAAACTTAATGTTTGATTAGTAATATGCATTGCTAAGAACTTCATTTGGACAACTTTAAAGATGATTTTCTCAATATTTAGATTTTTTTTTTCAGATTCCAGATTTTCAAATAGTTGTATCTCGACCAAATATTGTCCTGTCCTAACAAACCATACATCAATGGAAAGCTTATTTATTCAGCTTTCAGATGATGCATAAATCTCAATTTCGAAAAATTGACCCTTATGACTGGTTTTGTGTTCCAGGGTCACATATTGGCCGTCATATGCTTGTGTGGATATATGCATGCATTCATTATTATTTTTACTATGGTGAACTAATGAGCGAAATCCGACAGTCGTATGTGAATGCCAGAGACCGTAAAAAGGCGGCCTAACAGTTGCTCTTCACAAGTTTGCCTGATTCCTCTATATGCTACAGTGACTTACCGGTCATGTGGAGTTGGTGTAGACGGTGGTAGACCAAGGCTGCATCGCGGCAGCTCTTGCGGGCATCTTCCTGTAGGGGGCGGTTGGAACGGAGGACTCCGGCACGGATGGCTAGCCAGCGGCCCACCCACAGCCTCTGCAGACACAGACGCATGGCGGACCACAGCACCGCACAGGTCAGGTCCAGCTGAGACGTGGGCAGTGGACGACCAAGAGCTTTGAGGCACGTCCAGAGGTTCTGAGAGGCCTGAGCAAAGTCTCCCTGCAGAAAAACATTAGAGAAACGGCTATCAGATGTGTCGGTGAAATCTGACCTCCAGAGCAATCACAGATGAGTGCAAGAAAGCGGTTTATACCCTGGCTAGATCCAGATCGGCCTGCTTGCGGTGTCTCCAGAAGAGGACAGATGATTCTGAGTGGGGTCTGGTCACAGGTTCTCCATACACGAGCAGGCGGATCAAAACTCCAGCGACTAGAACACCGTTCAACAGCCACACCAGAAGAGTGGGCAACATCCAATCCATCCAGCCCCAAGACTCAGCTACACGCATGAAAACCAGATTGGATCGTTACCATTAAGACTGGGATGGGATGCTACTCTGAACATATAATAAAATAAAAATTCCCCAAAAAATGATGGATTGTCCATTAGCACTATAAACACATGATGTCTGTTTCATTCATACTGGAATACGCCCTCGCACAGAAAATCCACAGTCACAGAAGTAGAGCACTCAGGACCCTCCAGGAAATCCCTTATATGGACAAAGGCATGGCTATTATACTTGTAACTGAGTAAACAGAACATATACACGTTTTGAATGATAAAACAAAGACAATAAACACTCGACTGAGACACTATAGTTTATCTGTGTTATTCAAGCCATCTGGTATTTTCATAATAATTACATATATTTATAATCCATTGCTAATCGATGCATTCTTAATCTTTTTAAAGTAGCGTATGGAACATATTTTCTGCCTCATTCTGTGACAAGAAGCCTCATCAGATCCCAAAAGGAAGCATGTGACTGGTGTTGTGGAGTAAAAATGTTATAATGTTCTCTTTTGTTGGACAACAGGTTTAGAAAAGTGAATACTAGGGAGGTTTAGCTTTAGGCATTTTAATTTAAGCGTGTTTAGCTTCGTTAACAGAAGGCTACCTGCTGCCGTCAGAGCAAGTGTAATTACTGCTTTCACGCGCTCCTCCGATGCTCTCGTTTCCCGAGCTGTGCTTTTAAGTCGGAATGTGGAAACAACATGGACACGCTCGTTACTACAAAGATGTGTTGGATTTGTATTATTAGAGCTTTCCGACTTGAGTTCACGTCGGGAAATTATTTTTCATGTGTGCACCGCAGTGATGATGCTTCTTACGTCCGTTTTGGAAAACCAGAGGACAAATATTTCAATCGATCGCTCAGGCATGGCACCGAAATAAGACACCGAATCTGCATTCGGATTCGGTTCTAATACATAGCGGTTACATAGGTACCGGTGCCATATTGGAACCAGGTTTTGGTACACAACCCTAATTAGCACCTGCTTCTGGCACTGCCAGTGGACTCCTTCCTGTGTGTCCAGACACAGTCGTCCCAGAGCTGCTCCAGCTGCCACACAGCAGGGACGCCAGCGGGTTAAAGGACAAGAAGAGCATGGTGAAGGCACACAGAGCCATGCGAGAGCGGTCCAGCATTCCTCCAGCCCTCTCAACCACAGGCTAATAGAGAGAACGGGAAACAGAAATTGGAGTTAGATCATTACATTATGATTCTTCCAAGTCCTTGACCTCAAGCAATCGAATTATCCAGCACACACTAACACATACAATTACTTCACGGCCGAGGCCAATTCATTAAAGGCATGATAGGAGCTCTGGAAGAGTTTCTGCTACCTTGTTGTCTTCTTCCATCGAGCTGTCCGGCTCCGAGTCGCTGCCGTGGTGGGAGAAAGGGCCGCTGGATTGAGGCGAGCCGACGTCTGATGCTGGAGGGGTGGGGATTTCTGGCTTCATGTCCACCTCCATGATCACAAGGTCCTTCAGAGACTCTGAGGAGGAGACGCGACAGGTCAATGCAAAGACAACCACGCTCCACTGGTGAAAAACAAACTTAAGTAATGCACTTCAAATCTTAAAAGTATACTAAAAAAAAAAACTGCACTTGCAGATAATATATCCCTGGAATAAAAAGCCATTTAAGTGTACTTAAAGAGAGACATCTGCATGACTAGTAAACTTTTAAAAAGTGCACTTTTTATGTCAAATTAGAGGTTTTACTTAAAAGTACATTCTAAATCATTATATTTATCATCTCTTGGCATGCTTTAAAGTACACTTATTATGATGTTGATTTGCATACTGAAGCACATGTAGAGCACTTGATTATCACAACTTCGTCATTATAAATGTGTAATTACAAATATATTGAAATACGTGACAGACATGTTTCAACAGAAGGACAATGATTGGCAGTACCGTCGGCAACACGCTTTAACTATACGTGACCCTGGACCACAAAACCAGTCATACGGGTCAATTATTTTAAATTGAATTTGATAATTATACATCAATGGAAAGCTTATTTATTCAGCTTTCATATGATGTATGGTTTGTTAGGATAGGAGGACAATATTTGGTCGAGATACAACTATTTGAGAATCTGAGGGTGCAAAAAAAATCTAAATATTGAGAAAATCATCTTTAAAGTTGTCCAAATGAAGTTCTTAGCAATGCATATTACTAATCAAACATTAAGTTTTGATATATTTACGGTAGGACATTTACAAAACATCTTCATGGAACATGATCTTTACTTAATATCCTAATGATTTTTGGCATAAAAGAGAAATGTATAATTGTGACCCATACAATGTATTGTTGGCTATTGCTACAAATATCCCCCAGCGACTCAACACTGCTTTTGTGCTGCAGGCTCACATATAATCAACAGAAGTAATTATGAATTACATATAAAGATGCACTTAAGTGGGTCAAAAAGCACCCTAAAATTCAACTTATATTAAATCAAATCATTGCATTTAATATAAATTTAAACTGAACTTACTGTTCTTCTGAATGGACATTTTGAGTGTCATGTTCTCCTGCTTTAGTTTTTGGTTGGACTGCTGAAGGTAGCGAATGTAGTCAATGGCTTTCTTCAACACGGACGACTTATTGAGCTGAATAAGAGAGAAGTTCATCTTATAATGATGTTAAAGACATCTAGGTAAGATAAGAGCTACAAAATCTACTTCGGTTAGCTCATACCATCTGGTTAAAGTTTTCTAATGAATTTCAAGGGTCACTACATGGGGACTAAATAACTAGATATGTAATAAGGTTTTGACAGACTATGAGCCCACCTTAGCCTCTGTCCCAGCCACCAGGTCTTTGAGCTCAATGATCTTGTCGTTAATGGAGGAGCGGTAGCGTTTTTCAATGGCGTTATGGGCCGTGCGTTTCTCGCCCTTATGCGGCAGGCCGCCTAGTTTCCCGCTGATGGTGATGCGACTGATGGGCAGTTTCTCTGTGTCCACCATCAGTGGGACGGTGGTCAGGATGGTGCCTCCACTCATCAGTGCCTGAGACAAGAGATGTACAGATCCACAAAATAAAAAAACGGGGGCATTTGGGAACTTTTCAATTAAATATAAAAATTAAACTTATTTTATTACCTTTGACAAGATTTAAATTTGACCCTGAATATGTGACCCCGAATGTGGGCTGGGCAGCTTTACACACGAGCACAATGTATGGTAAAAGGTCACTGGGTTTCCAGGACTGACAACAGTGACTTCACCGTCTGCACCTTGAACTCAAATTGCCTTTTCATAACAGATTACAGCTACCTGAAGAGAACGGCTGGCATATCACTGATCAAAGGTGATGGATTTTATAGTCTTAGTAATGCAATCATGTTGGAGTTAGATCGATGACAGCATTTGATCTAGTTACTATAAAGTTTTTCACGAGTCAAACTGACTGAATGAGTTTCAGTTGAAAGTAGGGATGTAACGATTCACTCAACTCACGATTCACGATTATTATTTTTTTACAAAATGAGATTTAAGACAAATTATAAATTAAATATGGATGGAAAAACATGTTGCCATGACTTGGAGCATGTTTATAAAACAGCAATGTAGTAAAAAATGGAAAAGTGTACGGACGACAATGATTTCTGTTCGCACGGATCCGTGCCTATAGACCGGGCACTAATATGCATGCGAAGGATGTCACGGTTTTTGTAGTTTACATGGACCATTAACGATATCGTTTTCAAAACCAGTTTTAATTTTCAGGCCCCCAAAATGCTGTTGTCGTGTAAAGGAATGGCTAAAATGCAAACTTTTTTTTTTGTTGTTGGTGTCATGTAAACACCTTCTTATTGATTATATAATTTTTTAGGTAATACAACGTACCTGTATAGCTGTTCTGGTTGGTGTAAGTGACCACGGGCTGCTGCTGCTGTGGTTGGGGTGTTGGTGAGCTGAAGAGGGCCTGCTGGGTCGCGCCGAACACAGGGCTCTTCCCGGCCGGGGCAGCTTGGCTCGGGGCCGGCGGGGTGGAAGGGTGGAGGCTGGGAGATGGAGCAGGCTGAGCTTTGGGCTGCGTGGTCTGCAGTGTGGCGGGGTTTGCGGGGGTGGAGGTCACCTGTGCCAGAGGAGACTGCTGGAAAGTGGGAGGATGAAACACCTTGTCCGGGATGGAGGAGCTGCGGGTGATGGGGGGGCCCAGCAGGGCATCCAGGTGTGGGCTGCTGCTGAGGATGGAGGAGGTGTTGGTGGGCGTAGAAGAGGCGGGTTGAGGAGAGGAAGGGCTGGAGCGGGGCAGGACTGAGAGGTCCTGCGAGGGAGCAGGAAATGGAGCGTGATCGAACAGCCCTCCAAACTCCATGTCCTGGTGGTTGATAAGCTGGAGCATATCTGTTAAAACATGAAAATAGAGACGGATATAGTGAGCAATGGGATCCTCCAAGCATACAACTGATCGGTTTGATTCCCAGGGAACGCATAAACTTAATTAGATGTACTGTCAAAAAGTGTGTGTTTGACATCACTGTAATAAAACAATGACGTTATCACCCAGATTAATCCAATCCTTCCAATTAGGGCTGCACGATTATGACAAAAATCATAATTGTCGATTATTCCCTTGAAATTGTCATTGCGATTATTAATTACGATCATCACAATTTACACTGAATGATGTTTATACCATTGTTTGAAGCAACCGCGTGCCGTATTTTTAGATGAAAATAAACAAGCTGAAAACCCTTAGTGCTTTTCTATATTATTAAGCCTCAAATGGCATCTATTCATCGGATTGGTTTCTTCTTTAAATAAAAAAAAGGTAAAATATGAATGGTATTATAGTGTTATACTAAAATTAAAACAATGGAAAAACCCTTAAGATAACTCGCAGAAAGAAAAAAACATCTTAAGCACGCAGAATAACATAAGTGGACTTTAAACGATTAATTGCCGCTTTGAACGATTACATAATTGTGACATTCGTAATTGTAATCGCGATTAAAAATGTGATTAATTGTGCAGCCCTAATGACTGAAACTATAAAATAACATAGGATTTCTTAGTACATTACAAATGGATTTATGCCACCTGATGAAAATGAAATGAAAAAACTGTGTGATGTATTTCATGGCTTGGGGATCATCTATGTCAGTGTTACTCATTATGCGGCTCGCCAAGCTTTAATGTGTGGCTCGCATGGCAGATGGCAGTAAATAATGCGATGATATGATCAATACAGATATTTAATAAAAACATTAAAAACAAGCAGGGCTAAAACTAAGCCATTAAAAAAAACTCACACCATGTCTACACTTGACGCGAGCGTCGTGGTGCGACGCGACAAAAGACAATAGAACACATTATAATCATGGCCCTATGATTTCTGCGATGCGGAAAACGCGGATGCAATTGCGGAGTCCAGTCATAAAAACAGAATTTACTGTATAACGCGGAATATCACGGAATTTGTCAAAGTTTGGGTGAATAAATCAAAAGTACGTAGGTCATTACACTTAAATCAAATCGCAATATTGACTGGTATCTGTAAATATTAAGCTGCAAAAATACCATTTAAATATGCATGTCTCTTTATGAATGAATGGCACAGACGCGCGGTTTCCTTTACTACACACATACTGAAGCGCGCAGTGCTTTCAGCGTCTGCGGTCTCGCTAAAGGAGAACATAATTACATGAACAACAGTCAGTGTCTGCTCTATTATAAATAATTTATATTTTTAAAATACCCAAAACAGCGGAATTACAAGATGGACATATAGACTAGAAAGATATTTAAACTTGCTCTGCCCTTACGTCCATGACATTGACTCACTGCCGAGTTGTTTTGGCAATCTTTCCAGCTCTTAACGCCGAGTGTGCTCTTATGGTTTGATACACGATGGGCTAATGTAGAAGCAAATAACTTTAAATAAATCACTTCTAAAAATAAACCCCTTTGTATTGCATTGCATATTGCATGTTCAGGGATGACAGATTGAGAAGCAGACATGCTATTTATGACTGGATGTAACTTCTCATACTTTGCAGTAAAAGTGGCTCTCTATTAACTTTGTCCTATAAGTGCGGCTCTCGTGAAACAACAGTGATGTGCTGGCTAGAGTAAAAGTTGTCAAAATAAACTTTTAGCAGATGAACTACCATTCACAAAGTCTGAGATTGGTAATATATTGTAATATTTTAGGAAGAAGTCTCTTATGCTCACCAAGACAGCATTTATTTGATCAAAAATACAGTAAAAACAGCAATACTGTGAAATATTATTACAATTTAAAATAAGTGTTTTCTATTTCAGTGTAATTTATTCCTGTGAGGCCAAGCTGAATTTTCAGCAGCATTTCTCCAGTCATCAAGATTTACTTAATGAATAAAAAGCTCAAAACAACAGCATTTATTTGAAAAGGAATTATTTTGTAACATTATAAATGTCTTTACGGTCACTTTTTTAAAAATCAACTCAATCCATCCTTTCTGAATAAAAGTACCAAAAAAAACAAAACAAAAAAACTCACTTCTGGGAAAAATTGACCAGAAATACTGATGACTCATCTTGCCCGCATTTCTGTCCGACAAAATGTTCTTAAAACCCCCCGCCTTGCTAGAAATAGCATGTAGCACATCATCTTGGCACATAATAAGAACACAATGCATTTTATTTTCTTTCCAAACCATGAATTGTTTGCAAAGGAAATGTTTTGAATTCAGTTATTTTAAAAACATCTTCACTGCTTTCTTTTTATTCACTGGTGGTTTTACCAGGCTATGAAATCAACTGAAGCTTATTGGCTATTAAAATAAGGCACGTATATGCCCTGTCCTGGCTTCCTGATGTAGAAACATGTCAAAAAGGAAAAAAAGTACTTGATAGGGCTGCACGATAAATCAAAATGGAATGGAGATCGCGATTAGGCAGAAGCTGTGATTGTCGTGCGTATCTTTCAGTGAAGCACGGTTCTGTGATCAGCAGTAAATCTCCATCCGAAGGCCAGAGAAACTCCAAATACTCCTCGCAGAAGAAACCCAGAAAATGCCTATCGCTGCGGCTGAATAAACAGAAGAAACTGCTTTCATTCAGCGTGACTAATAAACACACGACTACCGCAATATACGGTTTATCTGAGTTCTTATTATTATCATTTTCATTAAAATTACGTATATTTATAATGCAATGCCTTTATCACTGTTTAAATACTATGAAATATGTTGCGTGCCTTATTCTGTGTAAGAAGCCACGTCATCTCACAGAAGGATTTATTTCAAACACTCGACTGACGTTATGAAGTGAGTTTGGAGTAAAAATATGTATTAAATGTGGTATTTTCACATGCTTTCAGATGGAGCAGCATTTACTACACAGAGCCGTAGTTCACCGAGAAGCTACGCAAACAGCTTTCATAATCGTGAACGATTTCATTATCGCGCGATTATATCGTCTGTGATTTTTTTTGCGTAGCTTGCCAGTAAACTACGGCTCTGTGTATTAAATGCTGCTCCATCTGAAAGCACGTGATGCTGATTTACTGCTGATCACAGAACCGGCTTTACCGACAAAATGTGCATGACAATCACATTCGATTAATCGCACAGACCTACCTAGTACTTCACAATATCTTTTTGTGGGGTTTTGTTTTTGCTAATTATATGACGGTCCCATATATTTGAACATTTATTTAAATTAGCCTTCTTTTTTTTTTATGTGAAATGTACTTGGCCACAACTATGATCATTCGTCCATGAATATTCAAGAAATGCTTTAAATTAACTTGAACATGAACACAGTTGCATTTACCTCTATATAATTCTTCCCTATTCTGTCTCCATCTTGCTGATCTTACAGACTTACCAAAAAAAAATAGATGCAAAGGCTTTGTGTTTCATTTTCTACAAAGACCTTTCAATTTGACTGAGGTGTTTGTTTTTTAAAAAAAACCTTTATCACAAAAGTATGGGGGGAAAAACACTATTTCAAAACCTCAAAATGCGTTTTTGCATAGATCTAACCCCATATACCATCAGAGCGCTCCAGTGTGCACAACCGTGTGTTTGTATGAGGTGACCGCGCTCAGCCAATCAGAGGCCTAGAAAGCGCCTCGCTATGCGAGGTTACTATCGGACAGCGTCCGCTTCAGCGCAGGGCTACTGTCGGTCACTTCACTATATCCACTGCACCATTCATAACCTCTATACTAAAGCCTACAATAACGCAAAGCATGCAAACGCACACTCTGAAGATAATATATATATATTTAAAAACACATTTTGCTGTGAGAAACAGAATCGACGCCGTTTTACGTGCTTAGGATGATAACTTGTGAGTTATATATAACGCAGCTGTGCTGGGAGCTCAGAACATGTCCGAGAGTAACCTCGCGTGACGTCACAGGCTGGAGGGGGCGGGGCTTCTGCTGCTGTCCACAGACACCCTGCGTTTATTTCCGATTTCATGAAGTCTAGCATACAAAGCAACAATAACCACGCTGTCAGCATGTTTAAAAGGGGATGCGGTTGATTCTGAGCAAAACAAGCCTCCTATAGGATGACACCGTGGTTAGATATGACAAATAAGTTTGAACATAAACACACAGGCGTATGAGTCTGACAGCACCAGATGTAAACACGCATCGGTCCCTCAGCTACTCCGTCCAGCGCCGCGAGTGTAAACAAACGATCTCTTACCGTCGATGTCATTGAGCAGAGCCGTGTCAATATCACTCGGGTCGTGAAAAGACAAGCTGGAGGCCAGGGTGTCCAGCGACGGGTCGTCAAAAGACAGGTTCATGGTCCTCAAGCGCTCGTTCAAAGGTATTCGACACCCAGCGTTACTCCACCGAGAACTTCTAGCACTTGTCGGGAGAGCAAACGTTCGCGGACATTTACCGGCTGCGTAACTCTCGACAAATTCAACTTTGGTGCTGATTCTGTCTACTGGCTGCTCGCGTTCGTCTCCATGCTGCCGCACAAGGCAAAGTTGACTTGAGAGTTTGCTTTGCACATTAGCATGCTAGCAGACCGCCGTGGGTGATTGACACGCCGCCCGACCAATCAGAACTCGCTCTTGAAGCGCAAGCGATGACGCGCGCATCTCGGTACGGCCACTCAAGTGTACTGCGATCTGAAGCGCTGGACAGATACACAACTGTAATTGAAGTCACTTATTCGAGATTGACTTTTTACTGTAGTTTGAGTATGTTTTGGATTGTTATTATCATTTTTGTTGCCGTTTTTTTTTACATATATTATTTTTATTTCAAGCATTTAAATGTTTTAAAGGCGTTCGTCGGCTATTTAAGTAGGTTAGTAGTTACACTGACCAGTTTAATTAATACGCTGACAGTCGATTTGTGTTAAAAGAGTATAAGCATTCAATATATTCTTAATGTGAAGTGCCGAATAAACAGCCCGTTTTTTGTTTACAAAATCTCGGTCGGTGGTGGGCTTGTCTCCGTCAGCCAATCAGAGTTAAGCCGAGGTGGGCGCTGGGCGATCAAGTTAGGTTGAGCCGCAGCGATGACGCCGCCTGTAGAACCAGAGAAACCGACCAATAGGGAGTCCGAGAGCGAGTGGGCTGATATGACGACACACGTGTGGCTCCGTGATTACATCATGTGTTTCTCTACACAACTGTAATTGAAGTCACTTATTCGAGATTGACTTTTTACTGTAGTTTGAGTATGTTTTGGATTGTTATTATCATTTTTGTTGCCGTTTTTTTTTACATATATTATTTTTATTTCAAGCATTTAAATGTTTTAAAAGCGTTCGTCGGCTATTTAAGTAGGTTAGTAGTTACACTGACCTGTTTAATTAATACGCTGACAGTCGATTTGTGTTAAAAGAGTATAAGCATTCAATATATTCTTAATGTGAAGTGCCGAATAAACAGCCCGTTTTTTGTTTACAAAATCTCGGTCGGTGGTGGGCTTGTCTCCGTCAGCCAATCAGAGTTAAGCAGAGGTGGGCGCTGGGCGATCATGTTAGGTTGAGCCGCAGCGATGACGCCGCCTGTAGAACCAGAGAAACCGACCAATAGGGAGTCCGAGAGCGAGTGGGCTGATATGACGACACACGTGTGGCTCCGTGATTACATCATGTGTTTCTCATAGAATGAGTTTTATTGCCAGGTATGTTTACACATACGAGGAATTAGTTTTCATGACAGAAGCTCCACAGTGTAACAGAATGACAGCGACAGAACAAAAACACAGATAATAAAAAATTGAACTTCTTTTGGACTGATGCATGCAACACCCGCTGACTGCCATTAAACAGCTTGAAAGATCAAAGACAATTTTTAATATAACTCCGACTGGATTCGTCTGAAAGAAGAGAGTCATATACACCTAGGATGCCTCGGGGGCGAGTAAAACACAGCCCAATTTTAATTTTTGCCTGAACTAACCCTTTAAGAGGCAGGCTGAGAAATGGTTCATTATTTTGCTGTAAAAATAAGTCAAGGTCCTTTTTTCCCTCAAAATAACGGCTATAATAGAATATTTTATAGATAAGCTTGCTAAAATGAATCACGCAGGAAAATGTTTGCACTAAGCAAATTAATCACTTTAATAAAATAGTTTGGATTAAACAATAAATCTGGCCGTAGGAAATCGTCATTATTCTAAAAATACATTTAAGACGTTATGAGATAAATACTTTTAATGTCACATGGCGACATTCATTTAAGCAGTTCATCCAAACAATGATGAACGCAGAGCAAGATATCACTAACAGGTCTTTCTCACAAGTACTTAAAGGCTGGAAACAAAACCAGATATTAAAGTCTTTGGAGATCAACATTAATCTGTCTGTTATTACATTATGGCAGAACAAATATAGCCATCTTTCAAATTGCACTGGTTTAAGAAATCAGACCGTTATTGATTTCTGAACATGCTGCAATTTCATTTCAATCAAACCCACAGTGACTTGTGCCTCATTTGCAAGTTAAGCATTCGGCCCTCCAGTGTTTGAACGGCTGGTTTACTGATTTAGGGGGAGGCTCGCAACAGGTTTGATTAGCTGGCAACAACATTTAAGCCCCTCCCATCATTAGACGCTTAACATTTGAGGTCTGAGAGTGTAAAATGCATCATGCTTGATCTAGCTGTGTTTACTCTATATACAGAGTAAACGTTCCTCACGTTATTGGAAGATCGCAGTGCAACATTTAGCATGATTTAATTTTACACGGACTGGAATGAAAACCACCGGTGATCCTGCAAAACCTGACGTCACATGGAATAGAATCTTTCATGACAAACATTTACATTTTACGCCAAAGTTAATACAATTACTATACACACACTTTCCTACTGTATATACACATTTTTGTCTACGTATGGATACATATTTTACAAATGCCTTTAGGCTAATATAATTCTTGGTTAGGTCTAGCAAAATAGGACAAAGTAAAATATCCATTCATTTCCGATCTTTACTTGCCAAATGTGTCGGTTTTTGCAAGCTGAAATCAATCCTTAAACAGGAATCTGACAGAAAGATGCAGCAAGTGGGTGAATCTTACGAAGAAATGTGTCATATTTCATATACCCCGAAAACAAAAGATGTCAGAAATGGTATATTGTATCAAGCAGATGAAACCTATTTTTGGCGAACGAAGCCAAATTTCTATCCCGGTTTAAATATGTAGAGTCTACAGGTACGCTAGAGGTTTAGGAGTAAACTATAACAAATAAAAAAAATGTAGGTAAATTGCTCTGAAAAGTGCTGGTGTGAACACATTTTTAAGAGTATAACTTGTTTGGGTAATTAATTACATTTTTTAAAAACGTTTTTGAAAGACGTCAAAAGACCGCATTTATTTGATCAGAAATACAATAAATCGGTAACATTGTGAAATCGTATCACACTTTAAAAATGACTTTCTATTTGAATGTATTTTCAAATGTAATGTATGTCTTCGGAAATCATTCTAATGTGCTACGGAAGAGGATTAGGGCCAAGCAATAATAAAAAAAAATAAAACCGTCTCGAGATTAAAGTCATTATAACGCAAGATTAAACGCGCAGTTTTTCGAGGAAACAAAATGTTGAGAGTAAACTCATTCGATTTCGAGAAAGTCGCTTTGGAAAGAGTCTACTAAAGCAATAAGCCCAGAGAAGCCGTGGTTTACAGTGAATATATAACAGCTAAGAGTGCCTAAAACCCCCTTAGCTGTTATAAATTCACTGTAAACCACAGCTTCACGGGGGTTACTGCTTTTATAAAACGGTTACTCCATATACGTAGTAAGGTTTCACAAAATAAAACAGAGCAAATAAAGTGTAATGATATTAATAAACACAGTATTCTTCCACCAAACAATGTAGCTCCTCAGAAACAGTTGTGGTTGCTACAAAGTGGTTGCCGAGCAACACACAAACTTAAACAAAGGTGTGTTACTTTGTAGCGTCATTTACAACAGCTTCGAACGCGGCTCAGCCAATCAGAGTCAAGCACTGGAACTCTCCGCTTTATCGACGGAAAGCACGTTTTTATTCGTCTGTCTTTGGTAATTCGCACATGATGATTGTATGAGAATGTAGCCACTTTGCTTCAACAGACTGAGTCACAATCCATAGCTGACTCAGATCCGGCCCGCGTGAATACCTCTCAGAACGGCCAACTTTAAGAGCGTTAGTTCATTAATGAGCGATAAATACGAAACCAATCGGCTCCATTCGACAGGAGTGAAACCAACGAGCTCTCTAAAGAGAATTATTTTGGCTACATGTTTGCTTCAGCCATGGCTTGACTGCACCGTTCAGCTCAAAGGTTATAGCTGTCATGAAGCTGGATTCTCACAGTGCTCTATCAGTAACAGCAAGCGTTTGGAAGGGAGTGTGATCATCTGTCCCGTCACGGGTCTACAAGGCAAAGAGATTGTCCTCCGTCTGCTGTGTCGTCCTGCGGTTGCTGCTAGACGTGCTCGCGGGAGGTCTGGGCCCTCCAGCATGGGCCAACGGTAAAGCCTCGTCTGCACTTTTGGCCCGCTCCTCTAAGAACTTGTCGAACTCTAAAGAGACATCAGGAGAACAACGGTCAACTGCATTCACGAGGTTAACCCTGTAAATGGATCCGTGAAGATTGTGTACAACAGGTTTCATGTTGATAACTTAGAAATCAGATATGATACAGTGGGCTTTATAGAGTTATGTATGTATGTACGGAATGTAACACTGAAGAGCTGGACATACGGGTAAATCCACACTGTACCTTTACTCGTGACTCCTTCCTCGGCCTCTTCACCCTTCTGTTTAAAGAAGTAAAGAGAATAAAATGATTAACACATCAGACCAGTACGTTTTATTACTTGTACGCCACGTTGAGAATGAACAACTACTTACCATTCAGCTGGAAAACCACTTTACAATGTGACTTTTTATAATATTTACGTATGCATTTTCCCTGTTATTTATGACAATAGATCAGTGTTGGGGACGTAATGACGTTAACTTAAGTGTAACAAAAAATAGTCTAATTTTTTTTTTTCTGTAGCGTGCTACTGAATTTAGTGATAATACCTTGGACCTAAACAGAACTGCAAGAACTGAACATTTTAATTTCAATTTCTTACAAATTCTGAATAAATACTGTGTCTTACAAAGGTATTATCACTAAATCAGTATTGGCTATTTAAAACAAAAAACAACGTAACAAATTCTGAATCCCGGCAGTTTGCGTCAAAGTAACTTCCCCAACACTTGACTTCCACAAACTACACAGTTATTTGAATATCAGTACAAACACTAGGGGTGTGCCATATCATACCGGCCACGATAACACCGGTATAAATGTTTACATGATAAAAAAAGTGTCATATCGCGATATCAATGATATAGCGACACAATGACATATGGCACATTTACGTTCCCTAGCACACACAACAACAACACCACCACAAACCCAACAGGTGTGTTCAACTTGAAGCAGCGCTGCGCAGACTGAGCGGTTCTAGAGCATATTCGAGCGCACACTCTTAAGCCCGGTTCCCACCAAGGACGATAACTATAAAGATAGCGATAAAGATATAGTTCTCAATATTAAAGAATAGGAGAGTCCACACCACAACTATAACGAGAAAGGCACAGAGAAACGATATTGTTGGAATCACTTTCAAAACTATTTTTCTCCAGCTGATGAACGATACAAACATTGACAGCCAATCAGAATCCATCCTGCTGTAAGGAGCTCGAGAATTTAAAGCGGCAGACGCGCGTGCGCTTAGAATAAACAGACGATATCGTTCGCTGGTGTGGACGCTAATATCGTTATCTTTATAGTTATCGTTCTTGGTGTGAATGGGGCTTTACCATCAAAAATAGGTGAGGTGCCTATCTTTAGCGAAGCAATGCAGAGAGCCGCTTCTGAAACATGCCGCGGCGCAGCTGGTGTAAACACAAGCATTGACTAGAGTGGCCGCGATCAGTTCCGGTGGCCATGTCGGAGCCATAATGCGTCGCATACGCGTGCAGTGTAAATAAAGGGTAATAAGGTGTAAATAAGGGGTATTTTGACGTCATACACTGATCGGTCTGCTTCAAGTCGAACACACAGCTGCTGCTGCCACCTTATGACAATAGATTTACACTTTGAATTAGGAAGTCTGTCATCAATGAGAGTAGCTCATTGGAAAAGGATGGAAAATGCCCTTTATTTTGTTTGCACTAATAAATGCTACCGCCTGCCAACTGCAATCACCAATAAAACGTTGTTCCATTTTTTTTTTTATATCGTCATAAATATCGTCATCGCAAATATTCTTGAAATATCGTGATATGATTTTTAGGCTATATCGCCCACCCCTAACAAACACAACAATAACCAACTCCGCAAGATGACATAACATTCAACAACATCGCACTCATTACAACTCCAACAACACAGGCTGGAGCTTTACGGACATCTTAAATTGTTAATTGATCCCTAGTTAATGTTCATTAGGATCTGAATGAGTGGCATATGGTGGACTCACAACATGACTGGTGGAAATAAAAAAATAAAACAAATTCCAAAATAGAACCAAACAGGCTTGGTTAAATGAAAGTGAGTACATGAAGTTACCATGGAAACAAAGACAAAGAGAATGAAATCAAGGTAAAGAAGCCTCACCACCTCGGCACAGAGCCACTCCTCAATGTCATCCATGACAGAGGACTGCGATACGGGGATCTATGGAGCAAAGCCGTGGACAAACCAAAGACCCCCAAAGCCATGAAAGAACAAAAACACAAACAATAAAATCACTAGAAGGTCTGAGAGGAAAATAACAACAACAGATAAAATGAAAAAAAACAACAACACACATACACACACACACACACAAACACGCACACACTCTCACACACGCACACACACACACACCCACACAAACTCGCACACACACACACACACTCTCACACACACTCACACACACACACACTCACACAAACACACACACAAACACACTTACACAAACAC